TGCCAGTCATATCCATGTTCTCCTTCTCCTGGAAAACATACTGAGACAGTGGCTTCATAAGATGGAGGGAGCCTTGATCGTGAGTCATGGGATGAAAGACAGCCTCCAATGACCCATGCTGGTCTTGGCATGAGGGAGAAATAAACTTTTGCTGTGCTATGCCATTGAGATTTAGAAGTTTATTACTGCAGCATAACCTAGATTAGCTTGATAAATACACTAAAGTAGTTCATTTTCCTGTCTACACACTACCAACCAAGCTATAACAGAGGTAAAAGAGATGGGAGAAACTATGTACTAGTGGGCAGAAGTAATGGCAGTTAGAGAATGCCAGAAATCTTTGTGAAATGGGGAAGAAAAAGAAGAAATAAGACAGCAAATCTATTTTCCTTATGGAGTCCTAGATATCTCATTAGCCACCTTTGTTCTGGCCATGGGACATCTTTGCATAGACAAAAATGGTCAAAAAGCAATTCTTACCTTCGTAACTGAGCATTTTCACTTCTTAATGGTTGCATGGCCAGTGCTATTTCAACTTCAATATCTGTGCTTACACTTACTGCTGGAAGCATAGATACACATGCCTCCACTTCTGTAATCAACCTCTGAATTTCTGAATCCTCTACCAAAGGCAAAAGAAATGAGTAAAATCAATACTATAAATTGTTTTTGAAAAAGATTATTAGAATATATTACTAAAAAGAAAGTCTTTATAGATATGTACATATACTTGCTATAAATAAATTCAACTCAGTTATCTATGAATTTATTATACAAATCCCATTTTCCTCTTTCCTGCTGCCTGCATTTGCTTACTCAGAAGAACTGTAAAGAAATTAAGTTCAGTAAACTAAAAAATCACTAATATAATAATCCTGTGATTTAAAATCAACAGAAGATTAATCTGTTACCTTATTATTATTACCTTAGTGACTTTTTTCAGTTAAAGAGTCAAATAGGAAGGTGGTTTACACATATCTCCTAGTATATACTTACTAAAGTACTATTGCGGACTCCTGTGATTGCTATACGGTTTCCTAAAATTGGTTACAGTATTAACATTTACAACACAACCTTTGGTCCTGGCATAAGAAATAATTTACTTTAGGTGATTCATTTGGCAAAATATTGAATGAAGATCTGCTAAGTTTTCATTATTTAATTTTATAAAGCAGATTTAACACAACCAGCCACACCTCACTTGATGTGACATCAAAAGGAGTACCATTTTTGTTACTAATTGTGAAGAGTGGATATTTTTGGATATGGCAAACAGACATAGGTAGAAGGTAGATATTAGACCTTTTGTCCTATTATTTTTGTCCCCTCATTCCCATTCAAATTTTCTGTGGACTGAAAATATTTAAAATTATATATTAGCTGTTTGATATCCAAAAGAAGTTGAAAGCACATTTTAAATTATAAAAATTAATTCAATTCCACATTAACATTCTGATGAAAAGTACATGCACATAGTAAACAACTGTGCCCAATTACTGAGCAATCTTCTACCAATCCTTTGTACAGTAGTTTTGCTCAGGGGCTTTAGAGGTGGAGACCTTGGCTCCACCACTTTCTAGAAATATAACCTAGTCAAATAACTTAACTCTCTCTCTCTTTTTTTTTTTACAATTAAAAGTAACAAAAATTATATATATTTACTGTGTATATGTTGTTTTGAAATATATATACATGGTGGAATGGCTAAACCAAGCTAATTAACATATGCATTACCTCACATACTTATTTTGCAGTGAGAACACAAAATCTCCTCTAAGCAACTTTCAAGAATACAGTACATTGTTAACTATAGTCACCATGTTGTACAATAGATCTCTTGAACTTAACTCTTACCTAACTGAAATTTTGTATCCTCTGACCAACATCTAAATTACTTAACTCTTGAAGCCTGGGTTTTTTCATGGTTAAATGGAGATAACAACAGTACCTCACATGGCTGCTCAAAATATTAAATGAGATACTGTTCTCCAAGCCTCAGTTTCCTCATCTGTAAAATGGGGGCTGTAGTAGTACCTCATAGGGTTGCTGTAAGGATTAAATATGACAATGCATATAAAACACTTAGCACAGTGCTGAGCACATGATAAGTGTCCAATAAATGATAGCTATTATTATTATTATTATTGTTACCATGATTAAGTATTTGGTTATGAGAATGGTAATAAGTTGAAGGTCTGAAAATGGCTATTTTACTATACTAAACCTTTGGCTTAATGGTGCTATATTCCTATAGCATTTTAAGATTTTTTTGGGAGGGCCAGCCTGGTGGCGCACTGCTACAGTGCGCCGCTTGGGAGCACGGCAGAGANCAAATTTTCTGTGGACTGAAAATATTTAAAATTATATATTAGCTGTTTGATATCCAAAAGAAGTTGAAAGCACATTTTAAATTATAAAAATTAATTCAATTCCACATTAACATTCTGATGAAAAGTACATGCACATAGTAAACAACTGTGCCCAATTACTGAGCAATCTTCTACCAATCCTTTGTACAGTAGTTTTGCTCAGGGGCTTTAGAGGTGGAGACCTTGGCTCCACCACTTTCTAGAAATATAACCTAGTCAAATAACTTAACTCTCTCTCTCTTTTTTTTTTTACAATTAAAAGTAACAAAAATTATATATATTTACTGTGTATATGTTGTTTTGAAATATATATACATGGTGGAATGGCTAAACCAAGCTAATTAACATATGCATTACCTCACATACTTATTTTGCAGTGAGAACACAAAATCTCCTCTAAGCAACTTTCAAGAATACAGTACATTGTTAACTATAGTCACCATGTTGTACAATAGATCTCTTGAACTTAACTCTTACCTAACTGAAATTTTGTATCCTCTGACCAACATCTAAATTACTTAACTCTTGAAGCCTGGGTTTTTTCATGGTTAAATGGAGATAACAACAGTACCTCACATGGCTGCTCAAAATATTAAATGAGATACTGTTCTCCAAGCCTCAGTTTCCTCATCTGTAAAATGGGGGCTGTAGTAGTACCTCATAGGGTTGCTGTAAGGATTAAATATGACAATGCATATAAAACACTTAGCACAGTGCTGAGCACATGATAAGTGTCCAATAAATGATAGCTATTATTATTATTATTATTGTTACCATGATTAAGTATTTGGTTATGAGAATGGTAATAAGTTGAAGGTCTGAAAATGGCTATTTTACTATACTAAACCTTTGGCTTAATGGTGCTATATTCCTATAGCATTTTAAGATTTTTTTGGGAGGGCCGGCCTGGTGGCGCACTGCTACAGTGCGCCGCTTGGGAGCACGGCGGAGACTAAACCTTTGGCTTAATGGTGCTATATTCCTATAGCATTTTAAGATTTTTTTGGGAGGGCCAGCCTGGTGGCGCACTGCTACAGTGCGCCGCTTGGGAGCACGGCAGAGATCCCGCCGAGGGTTCAGATCCCACATACAGACTGGTTCCTGCTCACTGGCTGAGCGAGGTGCGGGCGCAGCACTGAGGGTTGCGATCCCGTTGCCGGACACGAAAAAAGACAAAAAAAAAAAAAAAAAGATTTTTTTTTTGTCAATTTGCAAATGTTAGGTATTCAATCATTCTACAATCAATTACTCTGTTTTCCAAGATAACAAATCTGTAACTCATTCTAAGCAAAAGCCATTATTTTAGAATATATATACAGAATGAAAACAAATGAATACAACCTGGCTCCAAGACATTTTTCAAGATTTAAGAAAAAAATCCTAAAAATAAACTGAGAAGGGTATAAAAAGTTTTTGGTTACTTCTCAAAGTGCGATTTGTTAAACAATACAACAGTTGGTTATTAGGAACTCTGCATTTTTTCTAAATAGGAAAAATAGTCTATTCTAGGGAGTTAATCATCTCTAGGGGTCTTCTAATGACTAAAATTTTATCTCTATGAATTTTCTTTGGTTGAATCTTTTCGAGGTCCATTATTAAGCAGAATGAACACACACTTGCAAGCGAAAGACTGAATGTCTGATATTCCCTAGCGTGTTTCAAACCTACAGGAAACAAGAAGGGATCAAAGCCTCAAAAATTAAGAATACAACAGGCAGAGTTCATTTCCTTATTAGCTTAAGACACAGTTCTATGGAAAATATCACAAACTCCATGTCAATTAGTCTAAATTTAAATGATGGATAAATAGTATGACACTACTATTAGTATAACACCATGCTACAGAAAATTATAAAGAAAGTACTCATCTACCTTGTTCTGCTACCAGGGCCTTCAGTTCCCCCAACAAATACTTTAAAGTTCTAACTTTTTCAGTAGTCTGGTTCAAATTTTTTGCCTTTTGTATATCCTTGACTATTTTTGCATCTCGCACATGTACATTTAAATCCTTTCCTTCACTTGTGGCCTCTCCAATTTGTTCTCTGGCGCATTTTTCTTCATTAGTGGCCAAGAAAGCTGGCAGTGATCGAGTGGGGCTTTGGTGTGTCTTGCTGGACTCATCTGGATGAGTTTCTTTTCCATGAGACTGAAACAGACACATATATGTTTGAAAACACTTTCGTAGGTCTGCTTCCTTAGGAACTTCTAGTTGTGGTAGAATCCCATTACTAAGACCCAGCCACTGAAATGTTGGAATAGCTGATTTGTCAGTTTTGGGCAGGCTATGTGGAACTCTAGAACTGGTATTAGACAAATTTCTTAGAACATCAGTATAGTTCACAGGAATTGTTTTACTTTGTGATACAAAATGGTTGTTACCATCACTTTGAACTTTCTAGAGAAAGAAAAAAAAAAAACAAGTGAAGCCTTCAAAAGTGTGAGCACTCACTTATAGGAATTAATGATGCCAAACACAAACCAGAGATATTAGAAACTAACTTTCTAGTATTAAAACCTAATTTTCTAATATTTTTAAATTAAGAGTATGCTAGGGCGGGCCAGTTAGCTCAGATGGTTAGAGCATGGTGTTTATAACACCAAAGTCAAGGGTTCAGATCCCCGTACTTGCCAGCTGCCAAGGAAAAAAAAAAAACTGAGTAAGCTGGATTTCCCCTCAGCATAACAAAGATTCTATTTTTAAAAGTGTAATTAGTTCACTTTGCAATATGGGACATTTTAAGGCCAGGACTAAAGTAGATTGTTAACAAATGTCACACCTGGTTTAAAGGCATCAAAAATTAGTCCACTTTGGGACAACAACAATAAACATTTTCACTTGGGAAATTGCATTTTAAGAAAATAAGCTCAAACATACAAAAAGCTTCCACACAAATATACTTACAGAAATGTTACAGTAGTGAAAAACTTGCTATTAACTTAAATATCTAACCATAATGGAATAGTTACACACACTATGGTATATCCACAAAATACAGTATTAACCACTTATTAAAAATTCAAAAAAAGGTATATATTAATAGGAAAACATGTTAAAATGTCAAGAAAGAAAAACCAGTATATAAAACTGTATAGCATTTAATTATAACTCTATTTTTAAAAGAATGCAAACTTAACTAATAAAAACCAGAAAATGAAACCTACACAGAGAATTCAATGATTGGAAAGCACTCTATCAGTTTGTTAACAGCAATTATGCTTGGGTGGTGGGTATGGTTGATTTCTTTTTCTACTGATCTCTTTCCCTCTCTCTCTTTCATGATTGTTCTTTTCTAATTAAAAATAACTTGAAAAAATTGGTCTTTACATTGTAGTGCATTAAAATTCAATCAGTAAATTGAATATTCCCTAAGATGACAATTTCTATTAGCAAATAATTACTTCTGTAGTACACAAACTATACCCACAGAATGAACCATTGGAGGACAGGGTGGTGGCTGAGGTGACCAGACTGGGGTGGAGGTACATAAATCAGAACTAGAATGTGGAGTTGCCTGAGATTCTAAAAGATAAAAGATAAAAGAAAAAAGGTCATTCATATCTCATACTGCTTAAATAATAACTAAGCAATTTAATTAGAGCTTATATTTATACTTTTTAAAACATCATTCATACTAACCAGAACCAGACATAAATTGGCAAGGTACAGCAGGAATTCCATTAGGGCTGTTCTTTGAAGCCAAGTTATTCATCAGTGACATTTGAGTTTGTACATGCTCACAGAGGGCTTGATATATTATGGGTGAATACATTCTATAATGATCTTGCAATGGCCAATTCTGTGCTATGTCTGATGTGTCTCTTTCACTTCCAGCAGAAGCTTCATTATGTATCTGTTTCTTATTATCTGAAGATACTAATGTGGAAGAAGGAAAAAAAGTTCTTGAAATATGATTCTTCAAAAACTTTTACCATAAGATCTTAGGAGAAAAAAGGACTCTAAGAAGTAGTCTAACTCATCATTACACTTCACTGAAGGGCTTTACCACTACCACCTTCCTAAAGAAAATCACCTCAAATTCTTTTTGAAAGTATCTAATGAATTAAGTTTCCCCAGACAAAAAATCATCTATACTAACTCTTTAAAATCCTATTTAAAGGCTATTTATAAAATCTCTCCTTCAATTATAACACTTAAGGGTGTGTGTTATATTGTCCCTAAAGTTCAATAAAACTCCTTTACCTTTCTCCTTGTTCAGTTCATGCTCTCTGGGGAAAATTAAATAGGAAAGACAGAATACTTTGTAATAATACAGTGTAAAAAAAAAAAATTCAGAGCTATAAAGTCAGTAAGAAAAGTGGACTTAATCTACACATTGGCCCCTCAAAAAAAAAATATAAACCTGGCATTTAAAGTTTCCAAAGCCTGACCACAACCTACTTTTCCAACTATCTTCCCATCACTCCCAATTCAAATTTTTCATTCCAGCCAGGCCAATTTAGACACCAAACAAGCCTTTCTCACCTTCCTGTAACATTGCTCATGATGAACCACGCCTTCCAATTCCATTTTACCAACTGACCAAGGCTCATCTGAAAACTTCCCTCTTTCAAGCCTTTTCTGACCCAATCATTCCAGTCCAGTGACTGCTCTTCACCATCCCAGAGCAATACTGTCTACACAAATCATATACCACTGACATATTGCCCTATACTGTTTATCTTTATTCTCTTGTCCCTCTGACTAAACTATACACTTCTTTAGGCAGGGCTGTATCTTATACTTCATTATTTTCTCTCACAGAGCCTGGTTTTAGTCGATATACAAAGTAGAAATCAGTATTAATAAACTAATGAATGAAAAACAACAAAGTTTTCTACATAGCACTAACCTATAGATTGGTATAAAAATTTGAATTCTATTTCGATGTCTAATAAGATCCCCTTCCCACATGTTTTTAAAACACTACAAACAGAGGCCAGCCCGTGGCTCACTCGGTAGAGTGCGGTGCTGATAACAACAAGGCCACGGGTTCGGATCCCATATAGGGATGGCCAGTTTGCTCACTGGCTGAGCGTGGTGCTGACAACACCAAGCCAAGGGTTGAGATCCCCTTACCGGTCATCTTTTTTTAAAAAAAAACCCACTACAAACAGAAATAAGGATGTTCTGGTAGGTATAGGTTATCAGGGCACAAAACAAATTTAGAAAAATATATAGCTTTTAGTAGTACCTAAGAGTGCGGTGCTGATAACACCAAGGCCACGGGTTCGGATCCTATACAGGGATGGCCGGTTAGCTCACTAGCTGAGCGTGGTGCTGACAACACCAAGCCAAGGGTTGAGATCCCCTTACCGGTCATCTTTTTTTAAAAAAAAACCCACTACAAACAGAAATAAGGATGTTCTGGTAGGTATAGGTTATCAGGGCACAAAACAAATTTAGAAAAATATATAGCTTTTAGTAGTACCTACCAAAGCTAACCATATATTCTATAACACAACAATTCTACTCTTAGGTAGTATATACGTAACAGAAATGAGTGCTTATGTTTACTAAAAGATGTGTATAACAATGTTCACAGAAGGTTTATTTGCAGTAGCCAAAAACTGAAAACACCAAATAGCCACAAATATTAGAAATGGACAGACTGTGGTATACTCAGATGTTGGAATATTATACAGCAATTAAAAAGAACAAAGTACTGATATATACAACTACCTGGATGAATTTAGCAGACATCAGGTTAAGTGAAAGATGTCAGACATAAGAATACATAGTGTTCAACTGCATTTATATGAAGTTCAAGAACAGGCAAAACTAGCAAATGGAGATAGGAGTCAGGGAAGTGGTTACCAGAGATGAGGATATAGGTGGTGGTGAGGATACTGAGCATACTTGTAGGATGCTAAAAATGTTCTATATCTTAGTCTGTGTGGGGACTATATAGGTATACACATATGCAAAATTTTATTGAGATTTATGTACTTTTAAAGTACTTAGGAAAATTATTCCTTACTTAAAAACTGAAAAATATTAAATTTTAAAAAATTTGGTATGAAATCCACCAAATATATAAAAATATAATATTTTACTGAAAATAAAAACATTGATAAAAGCATAAATCTTACATGTAAAAGCAAAAACAGAAAAAGTTAAAGGCAGAATACATATTATAACCAGTGAAAATAGAAAAAAAATTTTAAAGAAAAAGACTGTTAATATTTGACTATAAAAATGGTTGGAGGGGGCCGGCCCGGTGGTGCACTGGATAGTGCGCTGCTTGGGAAGCGCGGCGGCGCTCCCGCCCAAGGGTTCGGATCCCACATACGGACCGGTTCCCGCTCACTGGCTGAGCGAGGCGCGGGGGCAACACCGAGGGTTGCGATCCCGTTGCCGGTCCCCGGTCCGGTACGGGGGCAACACTGAGGGTTGCGATCCGTTGCCGGACACGGAAAAAGACAAAAGACAAAAAAAAAAATGGTTGGAGACATTAGATGCTTCCATTTTGACTTGGGGTATGCTTCCTTTTAGAATTATCTATTCCCATAAGTGTACTTTTCAGGCCTAAATATTAGCTTTTAACACTTATTAGCTGAGTAATCTTGGGCAAACTACTTAACTTTTGACCTCCTCTTCCTCATTAGAAAAATGGTGATAATAATACCTACTTCATAAGACTGTTGTGAGAAGTAAATGAGATAATACTTATAAAGTTCTTAATGTCTAGCACACAGTAAAAGGCCAATAAATGCTATATCGCCAAATAGCTGCAAACTCTTTAGACTTCATATTTCATATCCATAAATCTTGCTATATGATATCAATAATATATACCTATGAACATGTCCCCTCTGAGGTGATTAAAACCAAAAGCAATAATAGTCATATTCACTATCTGAACAGATGAACTGCCACAAAACTGGTTAATAGGGCTGGCTGGTTAGTTCAGTTGGTTAGAGCGTAGTGCTGATAACACCAAAGTCAAGGGTTTGTCTGATCCCTGTGCCAGCCAGCCGCCAAAAAAAAAAAGTTCGTAAATTTCTGTAAAGCTAATATTATTTCTTATTGGAAAAACAATTTTACAATAAATCAAATAGAAAAGTACCCTCTAAATATTTTAGCTTTGAAACCTAAAATGATTGAGGGCAAGATTATAGTCCATGGCTGTCCAGCACATTGCTATCCTCTTGACTTCTGAGTCTCTCTTCTGCTCTTGGATTTCCTTTGGTCCCTTAAGAACTGTTTGGTTTTGAGGAGTTCTTGGATTTTACACTCACAGGTCCCAGGCATTGGCTGTCATTCACTTTCATTTCAAGGGGTAGTTTTGGCAGTCCCTGAGAAAGCTGACTTACAATATTATGCATCTGCCAGCAGATGTCATCATCCAACATAAATTAATAAACACCAAATGTATTTCTTAAAAATCAAATGCTTAGAATTAAAATGACCTACATGACCTTTATAAACTCAGTCCATATGAAACTCTACCAATAATGTTGAATATTTGTATACAAGGTACAATAAAGTCTTAAAGCAAATTATCCAAGTTAGAAATCATAAATAGATATAAAAGGAAGATTGCATTTATATTTATATTATAATTTTAAAATAAAACAAACCAACAACAAAATGTGCCTTTTATGACACACATACAAATAAATTATATCTTCTTGTTCTTGTTAATTACACCAAAGCACCCTACATAAAAATTTTATCTAGCAGATCAAGGTGGCAATATGTTTAATTGATGTCAGTTGATAAATAGAATTCATGAAAGGGATGTATTCACTTATTCTGTCTACGGAACTTTTTCAGTCCTTGAATTTTAGCTGTTTGAATTTTAGTGTACAAGCACTGGCTGTTGCTTAGTTGGACAAGCATTGTATGACAGATAAGTTATTCTTGCCACCAAATATAGAACAAACATCTAGTGCAGGTAAGAGCCAGTGGATGCCTATTATAACTTGAAATATAATAACATCTGGCCTGATGGGGGCAATCAGTGCTCAAAGGATTCTGCCTGTGGTGGTTTATTTCCCTAAGATGAGGGTAGAAATATATGTATATGTTACTGACAGTAGAATCATGAAAGCATTCAACACAGTTATCAAATGTAAAAAGTTGCTTATTTAAAAAAAAATTTTAATGTCAGAAGCTCTCTCAAGTAAGCTCAATACATTTCTGGATCTGCCTCTCTGCCTCCTTACTCCCAGAATGCATCAAAGTGGGCTACCCTGACTCCATACACATTCAATGATCAGTTAGGCTGCAGACAGAAAGTACATAAAGAGGCTATCCCAGAAGACAATTAACACAAAATAGCAAGAAAATGTGTGTTTAGTTCATAGAAAGACTCGTATTATCTTTTAATTCTATTTTTCCACAAATTTTTTGAAGTACCCTTATAATTTATACAAAATGCATCTCAATCTGAATGGCAAATTTTCATCAGAAGTACTTGATCTGTATTTAGATTTATTAAAATTTGCAGTTGAAAAAGTAGATTCACATATCCAAGTTATTCCAAACATCCTTAAAAGTTTTATAACTGGATCAGTTTTCTAATTTAAATGTAAATTAATTAAAATTAAATAACATTAAAAATTCAGCTCCTTGGTGGCACTAGTCATATTTCCAGTGCCCAAGAGCTACATGTGGCTAGTGAGTACCATCTTGAACAGTGCAGGTCAAGATAATATGAGGCTAATGTGATTACCCAAGATGAGTTAGGAAGGACTGAAGTAAGTTGTTTTGCCTGCCTTAGTTCTCTAACTCAGGACCATCTGGAACATCAACCTTGAGTCCTATGAATGCTCTACCCTCACTTTCTCAGTCTCTTTGCCTGGATCCTGATCTTTTAATATCCAGGGCTACTGCCTTAGATAGTTTTCTGACTTCACACCTTGCCTAAGCTGAAACTACGCATGCACTGCAGTGCTGACATTTCTTGCCCACCTGAACTGTGAAACTAGCTAGTCCAATTCTTGTCCACCTGAATTCCTACTGTGGACTTTTTCATTTCCATTTTGGGCTACATTGTTCTATAGACTTTCAAGAAATAACATAATCAAAACTTGCTTATTCTAAACTGATTGCTAAATTATTGTATTTAATTAAGTCAGCAAAGTTAACTGTGACAATGTAAGATTCCCTTAGCTAAATTCATCATCAGTCAGTGACAGGCTTTCTTTCCTTATCTATCCAATTTGGAATTTTACTTTCTTATATACCATTTATCCTAACTGCAGCTCAACAAGTTGAGATCTCAAGCCAACTTATACATATACAATCATTTTTAAACAATTACTATCTATAAGTATGCACCTGAAATACAACCAATTTGTGATTACCTATGAGAACAAGTGGCAGAGGAAACAAAGATAACTCTCTATACCTCCCAAATGTCATTCTGAGTTTGAACCTCTTTTCCTACAAAACACAGACAGCAGTCTCTTTTTCTACAACAACATAATGAAAGACAACAGCATAATCCTGATAATTTATCAAAATCCCCAGAATTAAGGATTATCTTTAAATAAATAAGAGAAAAAATGCTTACCTATTTCTTCCTGGATTACTAAAGGAACAGTATGTTTTTCATGTCCTTTCTTTTTAGATCCATATCTTTTTCTTTCTAAAGGTCTGGGATTGTGTCTATTTTCTGAATGTGCTGTTTCTGAACCTATTAACAATTAAAACAAAAATTTGTTAACATTAAAAGTACTTAATTGAGAAAAGATGATCAGCAAATAAGCATTCAAAAAAATAAAACCTGAATCTTCATTTCTCAAAATGTCCCACAGCAAAGACGCACAACCATCAAGTCCCTGTATGGTTTCAGTCTGTAAAGAGAAATTCATTTAGAATACATTTTTATATAAAATTTTAGTGAAGGTAAAAAAATATGTAGTTTTAAAAATTTATTCACAAGCAATTTATTATTGGTAAAAACATATATATATACATATTTTTTTTTTAAAAGATGACCAGTAAGGGGATCTTAACCCTTGACTTGGTGTGTCAGCACCACGCTCTCCCAAGTGAGCTGACCGGCCATCCCTATATAGGAATCTAATATGTAGTTTTAAAAATTTATTCACAAGCAATTTATTATTGGTAAAAACATATATATATATACATATTTTTTTTTAAAAAGATGACCAGTAAGGGGATCTTAACCCTTGACTTGGTGTGTCAGCACCACGCTCTCCCAAGTGAGCTGACCGGCCATCCCTATATAGGAATCCGAACCAGTTGCCTTGGTGTTACCAGCACCACACTCTCCCAAGTGAGCCACGGGCTGGCCCTGGTAAAAACATACTATAAAGCAACAGCTTTTATACTACCTTAGGGCAATTAATACTTTACCTTTGCATTTTATTCCCAATTCTTGCCTTTAACCTGAAAACTAATTAAAATAGAGCATGTATTCTATCTATTCAGTTTAATCTTACCCGACTTTCGAAATCAGAATGGATGGGGTTGCCAGAATCTTCATCAAAACGTGATATTTTTCTTAAGTGGGTCCTAGAAAACAAGCTCATTAATATTCTTCAAATAATACAAATATTTTTTCCCAAAATATATTAGTGAGTTTTATATTAGTTTTCCAAAGAAGGTTAGACAAGAAAGCTTGTTTAACCATGTACAAGATAGATTTATATAGGATACTATGAAGACTATAAAGACTGTTAAAACAGTAAAATGATTAACATGGGCAGATATGAAAAGTTACTACCCAGAGCTTGTGAAAGTAGAGACCCATCTAGTTTTCTGGGGTTGGCAAAAATGTAGTCCAGCCCAAAGACTTAAAAAATTTCTTGAGATTTCCTCAAGTTGTAAACTTCTTTAAGTACTTACCCTTTCTTTCCATTTGTTAATTTAGCAGGTCCGGTGTGCCTTCCTGAAGGTAAGACCTATGACATAATGCATTATATTATAGTAGATGTACAAATATTTTTCTATTATACTTTCAATATGCTATCTTGACAAAACCTGAAATGTCATTTATTTATTTTTTCATATGCCCAAACTAAAACTTGGTACTGATCAAACAATAACTTCCCATCCCCTCTTTCTCCCTGCCCCTGGTGAGCACTATTCTATTTTCTACAAATTTGACTACTATAAGAACATTATATTAGTGGAATAATACAGTATTTGTCCTTCTGTGACTGGCTTATTTCAATTAGCATTATGTATTCAAGCATCATCCGTGCTGTAGCATGTGTTAAAATTTTCCTTCCTTTTCAAGGTTGAATAATATTCCATTGCATGTACGTATCATGTTATTCATTGTTTACAAATGTGATATATCCTAAAAACTACAATTATCATTTAACTCTTATACCATAAATTTGTTCTATTTAGAATGTCAAGCAAGCAACACATGTATTTGTTCTGTTAAGTATATTTAAGCTGAAAAGGAAATTGAGAGATTATTCTAAACAAGAAGTACTACAGTAAGTGTGGACTATACTCAATCCCTGAGTATGTTCTACATTCCCCAATTTCTTCCAAACATAAAAGTTTAATTCAAGATATAGGAAAGTGTTCATAACAATGGTTCCATTTATCCATGTCCTTTAGAATGCCTGACAAGACCAGTACAGCAAAACTCTACCATTCCACTTTATATCTCATTCTCTCAATCTTTTTTTTTAAACTCATATAGCAAGTTTTTAAAAAAAAAACATAAGTGGGCTACCTTTTGTGTAGAAAAAAGGAAAAAAATATGCATTTGCTTTTATATGCATCCAATATCTTGGGAGTTATGCAAGAAACAGTTAATTGTAGTTGCCTTTGGGGAGGGAAAAAGTATCTGGGAGACAGAACAGGAAGGATGACTTTGCATGGTACGCCTTTTTGTATCTTCATAACGTCATATTAGATAAATATAATCTCTATTCAAAATATAAGTTTAGAAAGACACAGGTTAAAGTCCCTAACTCCACCCCCTTAATTCCACCCTCCAGAAGTAGTTACTCGCTGTTGGCAGTTTCATTTATGATTTTTCCTGATGTTTACATATTTCGTCCAAAGATACCTTTGAGCAGTAACTACCAAACTTTCTGAAATTATATAATATTCTATTATTTGTTTGAATATGTGCTCCTTCCTTCTAAGAATGCTACTGAGAATACATTTTTAAAACCGGGTTGATAAGAGATATACTTCTCTTTGAGATAACTTGGAATATGTGGACGGTCACAAAGCCAGCAGTGAGAACCTACACCGTATGAAACAAGACCTTGTGCAATATATTTCCACCGGTCTCTGCATCACACTGTCAGGGTCATTCCCTTTGGTTTATCTATGTTGGTGTCTTGACTGGAGTCATAATAAAAATCCAAGTAATGGTGCTGCTACACCCCAGATCAAGTCCAAAAACAACCACAATTTCTGTCTCTCAAAATTTAAAATAAAAAGTACATAGATAAATGTGTGGCATAATTGTAAGCTTATATATGATATTTCTCTGAAAAATACACATATAAGGCTCTATTACAGAAAATCTGGTAAATTACCCATGATAAAAGCACTCTGAAAGAGTAACTATTGTATTGGAACATTTTCTTCCAATTTGTTTTGTATTTTTTATTTTGAAATAATAGCACAAAGAATTCCTGTAAACACTTCACCCAGATTCCACAAACCTTAACATTTTACTTCATTTGCCATGTTCTCTCTCAATATATATATACACAGCATTGCTTTTTGTCTAAACCATCTCAGATTAAATTGCAGACCTAATACACTTTTGCTCCTAAATATTTCCTAATAACAAGACCATTCTCTAATATAACTACAGTTTAATCATCAAAATCAGAACATTAATATTGATGTTGTATTATAATCTAATCTACAGACCCTATTCACTTGTTGCCAATCATCCCAATACTGTCCTTTATAGAACAACAGTAAAAAACCCTCTGGTCCATGTCCAATCCAGGATCACATGTTACATTAAGTTGTCACAGCTCTTTAGTCTCCTTTAATCTGGAGCAGTTCCTCAGGCTATCATTCATTGTCTTTTATATCCTTGACATATTTAAAGAGTACAGGACAGTTATTTTCTAGAACATTCCTCTGGACATTCAGATTTGTCTGACGTTTCCTCAGAATTACCCTTAGGTTATGCATTTTGGGCCAAAATACCATAAAAGATATGTTGTGTTCTCATACAAGTAGACGCATGATATCAGTTTGTCCCAGTACTGGTGATAAAAACTTTGATTAAAGATGATATCTGCCGGGCCGGCCCGGTGGCGCAATGGATAGGTGCGCCGCTTAGGAAGCGCGGCGGCGCTCCTGCCTGAGGGTTCGGATCCCACATACACGG